ATGCTATACAGGTTTTGAAAATATGTATAAAAATTTTATGTTTTTATCTACTAATATGTTGGGTAGAACATGGGTAGATAGTTGGTGTGTAATAAACAGATGAGGGGTCTCGTTGTTGTTTTGATCCAGTCATCTAGCGGAATTTAGATGACGACCACAGACTTTTCTAGACAGTCTAGTGGAACGCTAGCAGGCTCATAACCTGTAGGTGTTAATGAACTTGGGTGTTCATTCGCTGTATTCCATCCCCCCTCATGGTTGCCTTATTTGACTTATATTGCTGAGGAACCCCCGCAGCATGTGTTGTCACCCCGATGAAAATATTCTTAGATTAGGTCCTTGTGTTAGTTATTTTAGGGACATAAAGTGAGAATAACGGGAATGGGTAACTGGGTTATTGTTGGTTGATAATAATTAATTTAATTATTTATTGTGGGTTGAAAACCCTATATACTCACCAGGCTCCCAAGCCTGACCCACTCAGTTTTATTTGTATTACAGGAAGTGGCGCAAGGGTGTAAGATGGATGAACCATCAAGTTGTTTTGTTTACAAGTCTGTATATGTATATATTTGTTGAATGACTTGTAATGTTATCGTTTATGCTTATTGGTCTGTATCGGAACATGACACCCCGAGTTTTGATTATATAATGAAAATACATTTCTTTTATGAAATGCTTTGGTAAACATTGTTGTATCATGTTTTGTTTTGGGGAACAAATTCCGCAAATCTTTCAAATCAAAAGGATTTACTCTGAAATTATTTTAAAAGCATAAATGAAAATCGGTCTTTTCTGACCGAGATTTTGGGGATATCACATTATCACTGAGGTCTTGTGCATTATTTTTCTTACTTTTAAGCCAATGATGTCAATTTAACATATTGAATGTATAATATTATAAATGACAATTTCCATAAAGTAGAATGTTGTGGTGTTTATGGATTGAGGTCTTGTGCATTATTTTTCTTTAACTGATTATTTTAATTGGCTTTTTATTCTTTTATAATCCTTTTAAGTTTATAAAAAAAATGGAGTTGATTTTGTAATTTAAGACTGAACTTGATAGCATCAAAGACTAATATTTAGTCCTTGAAAGATAGTATAAGAGATTGATACGACACAAAATACAGATTTTATTGAAAAATATTGGAGACTGAATAATAAATTATAGAAGGCTGATATTCAATCCCTAAAAGATAGTATTAAGGACTGATTTTCAGTCCTATATATATTAAAAAATGACTATCTAAGACTAGGTCTCGGGGACTAGTTGGGGATTAGCTAAATCAGTCCCTGATTATCATCAGAGACTGATTGTTGACCATCGGAGACTGATTATGTCAGCCTTTGATACCCCTTTTTCTTGTAGTGATAAACTATAAAGTAAATAACAACAATCAATGTTTCATTTCATTCTACACTTGTTCATGGAATCTCACCCAATCAAAACATTAAGGGATATGAGAACTTCTGGAGGAAGTCATAAATGTGTTTGTTGACCTTATCTGGTGTTTCTTGAGTGATGAAATGAGCTGCACCTTGGATCACCACAACTTTATCCAGCAAAGGCACATATTTCTTGAATCCACCACCATTTATGTACTCCTTCACATCTGGGATATGATACACCAAATCTAACTCCCCAACAATGAATTTCACTGGTACACTTACTTTAGCATGTGTCCATGGTGTTTCCAGTTCCCAGTTTCTGTATATAAGATAATAAAGATTTCAAATTTCAAAAAGTCCAAATAAGAGGAGGGAGTGGAAAAAAACTTACAGGTCCATAAATATGAAAATAAGACTAACTTTTGTTAAAATATGTATAATTATATTAAAATCTAGAAGGTTGTTATCTGTAAGAATGTATATTAATTTGTTTTTAAGTACAGATGTCTATATATATATATATATATATATATATATATATATATATATATATATATATATATATATATATATATATATATATATATAAGAATGCTGTTATTATTTAACTGAGAGTTCAAAAAAATAATATAATTTAAAAATAACATTCTGAAAAAATAAAATCAATTTATGTTTACAAATTAAGTTTGAAATTGAATTAATATAAAAAAAAAAAACATGATTATCCCATAAATCTCCAATTTTCCTTTTTTTTTTTTAAAGTTGTCTTGATTGACTAAAATATTCTTTAATAAATTTAGATGGTATTTTTGTATTATCTAATAATAGTTATAAATCACTTACTTTAAATAAATAAAATGATTGGTCCACAATTAACCATACATGCACATAATAGCTATCAAAAGCACAATAACCTAACTCTCTCTCTCTCTCTCTCTCTCTCTATATATATATATATATATATATATATATATATATATATATATATATATATATATATATATATATATATATATATAGGAGTAGGATCAAATGAGAACACCAAAAAGGTTGAGAATGCGAGAACAAAGTATATTTATTTATGATTCCATGTATTCATTTGTGGTGGAATTATAAATTTTTACGCCTTTAATTTCAAGCGAAGAGAAAAAGCATATTCATGTTGATTGTGCGTAAAAATTTATCATTTCTCCACAAATGAATACATGGAATCACAAATGCATATACTTGTTCTCGCGTTTTCAACCTTTTAGGTGTATCATTTGATCATTTCCCTATATATATATATATATATATATATATATATATATATATATATATATATATATATATATATGGAAAACAAAAAAAAAAAACCCTAAAACTCATAAAAATGCATAAAAATAGTTAGAGATTACAAAAAAAATTTTGAGTTTATAGATGAAAAAATCGCAGGTTTTTATAAAAATCGCTGAAAAAAAAATTGATTTTTTTCAAAAAAAAAAAAAAATCAGCGAATTTGAAGAAAAAGCTGCGATTTTTTCATTTATAAAGTAAAAAAAAAAAAAAAAAAAATTGTGATCTCTAAGTATTTTTTATGTATTTTTATGATTTTTTGGGTTTTTTGTTTTCCATAGAACCTATATATATATATATATATATATATATATATATATATATATATATATATATATATATATATATATATATATATATATATATATATATATATATATATATATATATATATATATATATATATATATATATATGATCTGTCACTTTTAAAATTTATAGAACTTTAATCTCTTACAATCATTTGTATATGTAATTGTCTATCAAATAACAATAATATTGTTATAAGTAGTATCAGAGTTCAACGTTCTTATATTTCTAAATTATTTAAATTATACCCTTCATAAGATTATTTATAATTACGCTATATATTACAAATGTGTTCTGTTTATTATATAAAGTCATTTAGATATCATGCTTTTCATTAATTACATCAACTCTCATGTCCCTTTTTCCTTTGGAGATTTTCAGCCACGTAACATTCTCATAATCTCATTTATAGTGGATTTTCATTTATATTCCATATGCATGTGGTTTTTTGGTTTTGATATCCATACAAATTCATGTGTTAGTTGTGTTGATTTATTGTGTTTGAAGTATTCATCTAATATAACAAATGTTTTAGGAAATTAGTAAATATGTTTAATGCTAATAAAACAAAATAAATATAACATGTGAATAAAATCAGAATTGTTAATAGGGAAAATGACTCTTGAGGGTAATTAACATTTGCGTTTGTACTTATTTGGTTCCTTTTTTTTTGTATTCAATATATCATCGAACTTGTTGTTTGTGTTCACCATAACCCTTTTGACCGGCTTTTGACCTGTGATAGTCGATCAAAAGGTTATGGTGAACACAAATAACAAGTTCGATGGTATATTGAATAAAAAAAAAAGGAAATGGACCAAATGAGAACAAATTCAATAGTTGGTTACCCTCCTGGGTCATTTTCCCCGAAAAGTTAAATGAAATTAAAGTTGTAAAATTATCAAAGACTACAACCTTCTTTGGCTATAACGTATATGAAGAGCATTTTAGAGGGGTAACTTCGTTAAAACATGATATATGTTATGCTTACTGTGGTTAGCTTTCAACACCTTTCTTCAAAAGAATTTGATTGTGTATGAAAGGTATATTTATCAGCATAAACATTACCTCAATGTATATTATGGTGATGTGTCTGCAAAACCAGCATGATATTGTACATTTTGATGTTATATCTCATTTCATGAATTCGATCCTAAAGCTAATTAAACTCAAAAATCACAGCATTTGTGATTCCACTCGTTTGTAGACTTGTCTAGAATCCAAGATACGATAAATCATAATGTAGTTATAAAATGTGTCAACTTAGTCAAGATTCCACTAATAAATATTCAAGTGCATTGCAAAGTTGTACATGTATGAATAGTGTTCTTTCGTGGGTTATGTTTTGAAGATAAGTAAAAATGAATCTCATAAAATCATCAATATCAGTAGAAGATGACGTGGGATTTGCGGTAATAAGTAAAGGGAAAATGACTCAGGAGAGTAACCAACTTTTGCGTTTGTTCTCATTTGGTCCCTTTCCTTTTTTTTTTTTTTTTTTTGTACTCAATATATATCATCGAACTTGTTGTTTGTGTTCACCATAACCCTTTGACCAACTATCAGAGGTTAAAAGCCGGTCAAAAGGGTTATGGTGAACACAAACAACAAGTTCGATGGTATATTGAATACAAAAAAAAAAAAAAAAAAAAAAAAAAAAAATACAAACGCAAAAGTTTATTACCTTCAAGAGTCATTTTCCCTTGCTAATATCATATAATGATTTTATCAATGAAAAAAAATTTCTAAAAGTTTATCAAATATATTTTTCCAAAAGTAGAATAGAAAAAGTTATTGACTTGTGGTGGACGGCTACAAAGGTTTAATATTCACTTACGGCAACAAAATACTTGATAGAAAAAGTGTGGACTTCAGCTGTTAGACAAGAGATAGATATATATATATATTATATAAAACCTAAAACACTTAGGCGTTGGCAGTTGACACTCCCAAAACTATACAAGATGGAGGGTATAGAACACAAGACAGTGATTGCCAATGGACTCAACATTCACATAGCAGAAAAGGGTAAAGGTCCATTAATCTTGTTCCTCCATGGCTTCCCTGAGCTCTGGTACTCCTGGCGCCACCAAATTCTGTATTTTGCAGATCATGGCTACCGAGCTGTGGCACCAGACCTCCGTGGCTATGGTGACACAACGGGTGCACCAGTGAATGACCACACCAAGTTCACCATCCACCATCTGGTAGGCGACTTGATTGGGCTTCTTGATGCCATAGCTAGCGAAGGTGAAAAGGCGTTTGTTGTGGGTCATGATTGGGGTGCATTCATTGCTTGGCATTTGTGTATGTTTAGACCTGAACGAGTCAAAGCCTTGGTGAACCTGAGTGTGCCGTTTCTTCCCAGAAACCCAAAAACAGATCTGGTCGAGATGTTGAGAGATGCATATGGGGAGGATCACTACATGACCAGATTTCAGGTACAATTGATTTACCCCCAAAAAAAAAAAAAAAAAAAAGTTACGAGTTACTTAGTTAATATAACTTTATATATGAGTGTAGGAACCCGGTGAAATTGAAGCCGAGTTAGCTAAATTGGGTACACAAACAGCAGTTAAAAAGTTCTTAACATTTAGAGACCCTGAACCATGGTATTTTCCTAAAGGTAAAGGATTTCATTATTCACCAGGTGATGCCCCAGTCACCTTGCCACCTTGGTTGTCTGAACAAGATGTTGACTACTTTGCTACTCAACTCCAAAAGACAAGCTTTTCTGGTGGAATCAACTACTATCGTGCTTTCCACTTGTAAGTTAATTTCACAAGCACAAAGTGGAACAGCAAATTAACAGTTGATTCATTTTTCCTTTTTGCTTGTGTTTGTTTGTAAAGGCACTGGGAGCTCACTGCAGCATGGCGGGGTGCAAAAGTGATGGTGCCTTCTAAGTTCATCATTGGTGACCTGGACTTGGTATATCATATGCCTGGCATCAGAGACTACATACACAATGGTGGGTTTCAGAAAGATGTTCCTTTTCTCGAACAAGTTGTTGTTATGGAAGGTGTCGCCCACTTCATCAATCAAGAGAAGCCCCATGAGATCAACCAGCTAATAATTGAATTTCTGCAGAAATTCTGACCAATTTCCAGCTTCCTTCCAACTTATAATAGGTATGCATTCCATATGAAGTTTATACTGGTGTTTTGGGGAAGAAGTTCAAAGCTTTGTTGCTTCTAGTTTAAATAATGTGAGGCAATCAAATAAGTTCAAAGCTTTGGTGACCTGGACTTGGTATATCATATGAAGTTTATACTAATGTTTGGCTTAGTGAACAAGTTTTTTCTATGAGACAATCAAATAAAGAAAAAAAAAGGCATGTTGAAGATGCTATTGAAAGCCTAATTATGCATGGAATATGTTTCTATCAAATATGCATCTTTCTGTAAGACTTTCTTACGTTACTGGTGTTTTATGTTTTTATTTTATATATTTTTCATCTTTAGCAACAAACATATATATACATCTTTTTCTCCGTTCCTTCATAGCTATGGTCAATGGATCAATGATATCCTTGGCGTTTTCCTTTCATTCTACACTTGTCCATGGAATCTCGCCCAAATCATAACATTAAGGGATGTTAGAACTTCTGGAGGAAGTCATAAATGTGTTTGTTGACCTTGTCTGGTGTTTCTTGAGTGATGAAATGAGCTGCACCTTGGATCACCACAACTTCATCCAACAAAGGCACATATTTCTTGAATCCACCACCATTTATGTACTCCTTCACGCCTGGGATATGATACACCAAATCTAATTCCCCAACAATGAATTTCACTGGTACACTTACTTTAGCATCTGTCCATGGCGCTTCCAGTTCCCAGTTTCTGTAAATAAGATAATCAAGATTTCAAATTTCAAAAACTCCAAATAAGAGGTGGGAGTGGAAAAAAAACTTACAGGTCCATAGAACGGTAGTAGTTTATTCCTCCAGTGAAACCAGTTTGCTCGAACTTTTTGGTGTAATAATCAATATCTTCTTCGGATAACCATGATGGCAACATGACAGGAGTATCGTGTGCATCTCCAAAGGGCTTACCTTTGGGGAAGTAAATTGGATTGATATCACGGTGTGTCAAGAATTTCTCCACAACTTTCTTGGTTCCAACACTCGCCAACACAGCTTCAATTTCCCCTGGTTTCTACAACAAAATTAAAACGAGAGTCAAAAAGATTGAGCCCAAAGATATGACTAAGTTTTGGTAATAAATCCGCATATGTATAGCTCAAACTAATGGGTTCGACAGCATTTTCTAATGAAATTAAATGAAAGGAAGTACAAGTCTGAAATCTCACCTGAAATCTGCAAATGTAGTGATCATCTCCGTATGCAGCACGCATATTCTCTACCGTTTTCCGTTTAGGGTTTCTCGGGCTAAAGTGAACGCTCAAATTGACTAAGGCTTTAACTTTGTCAGGTCTAAACAAACACAGGCGCCAAGCAATCATGGCGCCCCAGTCATGCCCAACAACAAACACCTTATCTGCACCAAGAGCGTCGATGAGTGCGACCATGTCGCCGACAACGTGAAGTGTAGTGAACTTGGTAGGATCGTCGATAGGTGCACCGGTGGTGTCTCCGTAGCCACGGAGGTCAGGGGCGACTGCACGGTACCCGTGGGCGGCGAGGTAGATGATCTGGTGGCGCCAAGAGTACCAGAGCTCAGGGAAACCGTGGATTAGAAGTACAATTGGACCTTGACCCATCTCTGCAACGTGCATATCGATGCCATTGACGCTTATCATCTTGTGCTCTATCCCTTCCATCTTCGCCTCTATCGATTTGGAGCACAATTCTGCAAAATTGTACAAAGGAGTATATTTCAAGAGAGTCGGTATCTTGAAGCATTATCCATTCACGAGTTTCACTTTTATGTAATCAAAATTTTAAAGTAATCTTAAATAGGGTAAATTTCGTTTATACTTTATACTATTTTTAAACATTAAATTTATTTGTACACTTTAATTTTTAAATATAATAAATACATTTTTTAAAATTTTAGAATATTATATATTTTTGTTTTTCCAAATATTAATTTTTTATTACGTTTAAAACAATTTTAATATTTTTAAAATTAATTACTACCATGTGCGATTGTGAAATCAGCAATAAATCTTACATTGTCCAAGAAACAATAATATCCTTTACTAATAATCTACACATGAAACATTATACTGCCTAGGTATTGTAATTTAACAATGTAATGACAAACAATGTAACATATACTAACAATAAAAGTCAAAGTAAGATATCACTAGGTATTGTAATTTAACTCCTTATGTATGCTGAATTATATATGTATGGAGGTGATTACTAATCTCCTTTACATATTACAATTGGTGTGATCAATCTTCCTTAATTTCATTCTACACTCCTCCATGGAAGCTCCCCCAAATCAGAACATTAGAACTTCTGCAAGAAGTCATAAATGTGTTTGTTGATCTTGTCTGGTATTTCTTGAGTGATGAAGTGAGCTGCGCCTTCAATCACCACAACTTCCTCCAACTGAGGTACATTTTTCTTAAATCCACCACCCTTTACGTATTCCTCATTATACACCAAATCTAACTCCCCAACAATATACTTTACTGGAACACTTGCTTTAGCATCTGTCCATGGTGCTTCCAGTTCCCAGTCTCTACAAGTAAGATAATCAAGAATCAAGATTTCAATTTCCAGAAACAAATGAAGGGTAGTGATTTGAATTTTCATAGAATTGTAAAGGAACTAACAGGTCAACACAACGGTAGTAATTTAGTGCTCCTGTAAAGCCAGTTTGCTCGAATCTTTTGGTGTAATAATCAACATCTTCTTCAGATAGCCATGATGGATAGATGACAGGGGTATCATACAAAGCTCCAAAGGGCTTATCTGTAGGGAAATAAAAAGGAGCACGATCCCTGTATGTCAAGAATTTCTCAATAGCTTTCTTGGTTCCATAACTAGCAAACACAGCTTCCATTTCCCCTGGTTCCTGCAACAAAGTTAAAAACGAGAGTTAAAAAGATTGAGACCAAAGAGATGAGAATAAGTTATGATTCTTGACATTAGGGTAAGAGTCTTTAATCTGTAACAGCAGAAGCGATAAATCGGCATAGATCAAATTAATAGGTTTGACAGCATTTTCCCATCAAAACCAAGTGAAACGAAGAACGAATGTCACCTGAAATCTGCAAATGTAATGATCATCTCCGTATGCAGCACGAACATTCTCTAAAATTTTCCGTTTAGGGTTTCTTGGGTTAAAGTGAACGCTCAAATTGACCAAGGCTATAACTTTGTCAGGCCTAAACAAACATAGGCGCCAAGCAATCAAGGCGCCCCAGTCATGCCCGACAACAAACACCATATCGGCACCAAGAGCATCGATGAGTGCTACCATGTCTCCGACAACGTGAAGCGTAGTGAACTTGGTAGGATCGTCGAGAGGTGCACCGGTGGTGTCTCCGTAACCACGGAGGTCCGGGGCGACTGCTCGGTACCCATGAGCGGCGAGGTAGATGATCTGGTGGCGCCAGGAGTACCAGAGCTCAGGGAAACCGTGGATTAGTAGTACAATTGGGCCTTGACCCATCTCTGCAACGTGCATATTGATACCATTGACGCTGATCATCTTGTGCTCTATCCCTTCCATCTTCGTCTCTGTTGATTTGGATCACAACTCTGCAAAATTGTGCACGGGAATCTGTTTCGAGATAGTTGAAGTATCTTGAAGCTTTTGATCCATCCTTGAATTTCACGAAATCTGAAATATTTAATAGGTGCCTGGCCTGCTGTCAACTATCGGTTGTTTAGTGCACATTATATTCCTCTTCCAATCCTAAAGCAGACAAGCTTCGTGGCGGGCGGAGATGATCCGGTGTTTGTTAAGGCCATCCCAATGGGATTCTATGCCGAGTTTAACGAGAAAAAGATTGCAGTTGAATAGATTTTTCGATTTATTATAAAAACTTTTTTTTTTTTTCTTTCTTTCTTTTTCTTAATTTATTATAAAAACTTATTCTTTTTTTTTTTTTCTCAATTTATATTTTCTTTCTTTCTTTTCTAAATTTATTATAAAAACATATTTCTTTCTTTTTCTTTTTTTGTTTGTTTTTCTTAATTTATATAGAAAGTAACATTTAATATATTTTTTTTCAATAAGCAAACTATATATATATATATATATATATATATATATATATATATATATATATATATATATATACTTTGTTTTATTTTATATTCAATAATTTAATTTATTAAGTTACTTCATATTTTTTATTCTAAACAATACAAATATATATAAATCTTAAAAACATTTTAAAAAGATAACATCTCATTTATTATAATACAACATGGTGAAATTACATATTAATAAAACGTTCCCAAATATGCTCCATTAAATCATTTCGAAGAGCATGATATATTGCATTATCATGTAGTTCAGAGTTTCTTTGAATTTGGTATTGAACTTCTTCGATAGGTCCTCGATTCACATGTATAGGAGGATCAACATCATCTGACCACTTACTAATTGCATTTCCTTCATTTTCTGCGATCATATTATGTAATATAATACATTTATACATTGTATCATTTATGTTTTTAAGTTGCCAAGATCTTGTTGGACCTCGTACAATTGCCCAATAAGATTAAAGAACACCAATGTTGTATCAACATCCTTTCTGGTAGCCTCTTGCATTTCTTTAAACTTGATCATTTTTTGGTCAGCCGGATATGGAAAACTTTTAGCCATTGTAGCCCATTCAGGATATATATCATCTGCAAAATTATATCTTTTTGTGTATGTTCTTCCATTAATAGTAAAATTGCATTCAAGAGCATAACCTTCTAATACATCATTGAATAATGTTGACTGGTTAAGTACATTAATGTCATTGTTAGACCCGGCAACCCTGAAATATGCATGCCATATCCAAAGGTCTTGTGATACAATTGTTTCCAGTATAATTGTTGGACAACCTTGATCACCTCGAGTATATTGACCTTGTCATGCAACAGGGCAATTTTTCCAAGGCCAATGCATGCAATCAATACTTCCAAGCATACCAGGAAACATGTGATTTTCTAAATGTTTTTGTGCTAAATTTTGGATGTCATTATCATTAGGTTTTCTCAAATAATGGCTTGAATAAACCTTAATCACACATCGACAAAAGTTTTGTAGACATTCTATTGAAGTTGATTCACCAATTTGTATGTATTCATCAAAGAGGTTACCAGTTGTACCATATGCCAATTGGCGTATGGCAGCAATGCATTTTTGTAAAGGGGAAAGACCATTGTTTCCTAAAGCATCTTTTCTTTGTTGAAAATAAATAGAATGGTTAGAGATACCGTTAACTATTTGAACAAATAGTTTTCACCTTATTCGAAATCTTCGTCTAAACGTTTGAGGTGGGAAAATAGGATGCTCATCGAAATGGTCTTTACAAAGACGTTTATGTCCTTCTTCACGATTTCTATCTATATATCTTCGACTTTGTCCAGGAGGTCTTGAACTTCCAACATCTGACTATTCTGCTCCCAAGCATTTTAGCTCCTTATATAATTTAAATGTAGAATTACTTGTGAGATGGTTGATTATGAATTCAGAAGCAGAACCATATGAGGATGATGATGACGTCGTATAAGAAATAAATAAGAAATAGTTTGAATTTGTAGGTATGAAATAATAAAAAGGTTGTATTTTTTTATAGAAAAAATATAGAGTCAAATGAAATTCAAATTATACTCAAATAAAATCCAAATTAAAGTAAAATGAAATCATCCACAACAGCCATACCCAAATCCAAACAATCATCTACAATGTCCATATCCAAGTCCAAACAATTATCCACAATATCCATACCCAAATCCAAATATTCATTCACAAAATTCATACCAAAATGCATACCCAGATTCTACCAGCCCGGATCCTCCTTATATTCTAGAAAATGAGCCAACACCAACAAAAACTCCTACCAACAAACGACAAAAAAGGGAAAAAAAAAAAAACAAACAAACAAACCTACTGGAGTAAAGAAGAAGAAATGTTGTTGGCAAAATCTTGGCTACAAATTTCAAAAGATAGCATTACCGGAAGTCAACAACGTGATAAAGAGTTCTGGTGACGAATTAGTGCGTACTATGAAAAAAGCAACACGTCGAACGTTGCAAGAACTCAAGCCAACCTCAAAATGCATTTGCCTTACTTGAACCCATTTGCAGTTGCATTTAATCAAATGTATATATTGTTGAAAAGTCAACACCTCAATGGATAGTTTGAGAATGATCTCAAAAGTGCAGCTTTTGAGCATTATCATGCTAGATATGGTGCCGATTTTAGGCATAAACATATTTGGAATATCGTTAAAATGAACAGAAATGGAAAGGTTCAAGCATTGCATCTGGGGCATCTATGTCTTCATCAAATACATAATCTTTCTTTAACCTGGATAATGATGAAGTTACAACTCGTCCAATTGGTAGGAATACAGCAAAAGGGAAAGCTACCAATTCAACTTCATCATTTGGTAATAAGCTTGATGAAATACTTGAAAAACATATAGAAGAAAATAAAAAGACTTTTGAACACTACCAAAACTCTTTGGATATGAAGAATACATTGAAAGAAAGAAAGATGAAAATTAAAGAAGAAAAGGTAAAGAACAAGGAAATTTCAATCATTTTCATGGATCCCAGTACCATGTCGAAAGATGGACGTGAAATTTGGAGAAATCGCTATGTGAATAGATTAAAATAAAATACAATATGAAGTAAAATTTGTATTTTATATATTGTACTTTTATGTAGTATATTATTTGTAACTTTTAATTTCAAAATTGTAATCTTTAATTAATATTTAGTAATTGTAACTTTGAATTTCTAATTAATGTAATATTCTAGTTTTATTTATTA